TTGTAGGGGAAGCTGCGTCTTGGCAATCCAAGCTGCAGAAGTGTGTTGTTTTATCCACAACCGAGGCAGAGTATATTGCCGCAGCAGAAGCTGGGAAAGAGATGTTGTGGTTGAAGAGGTTTCTCCAAGAACTGGGACTAAAGTAAGAAAAGTTCACGGTACATTGTGATAGCCAGAGTGCCATAGACCTGAGCAAGAATTCTATGTACCATTCTTGTACGAAGCATATTGATGTTCGGTATCATTGGATACGCGAAGTGATGGAACAGCAGTTATTGGAACTGATCAAGATCCATACAAATAAGAATCCAGCTGACATACTTACAAAGGTGGTCTCGAGAGACAAATTCGAAATTGCAGAGACATTGCAAGGATGGATTTCAAGTGAGAAGTCAGTCATGCATATGGGTATGGAGGGGAAAAATTGTTAGCTCCAATCCATGTGCATGCAGAGGAGCGAGTCAAGGAAAAATGGTGTACGAGGACCTCCACCACAAGTGAAGGAAGTTTGAGCGGGGCATCTCTCCCTTCTCTTCACGTTCTTGCCATTGTTGACTCTCACCAATAAAAAAAAAAAGGTGAAAATTTTGGGTGAGTTTGTATCTCTCTCTCTCTCTCTCTCTTTGTGTGTGTGTGTATATAATAAAGATGAGAGGGAAAGGGTGAGTGGTATCATCAGAAATTTAAGAGATAGAGAGCTGTGAATTCAGTGAGAGTATTTCTCCTTCTTTGTTTTTGTATTGCTCTGTTTTAATGAAATTTTCATTTCTGTTCCGTGGACGTAAACATTGGGTTGAATCATGTAAATATTTGTGTGTGATTATTTGTTGTTTATTTTATGGGTGTCCATAATCCTACCATTTATATCATGTTAAGTTAGCGGTGAGATAAAGAATTTTTTTTCTTTTTATCAAGGAGAGAAAGACGTGTGATGTTTATTAATTGTGTGTGCGGACAAACAAGCATTTACTTTTGACGTAGAGAATAGAAGTTTAGAATTAAATTGTCATTTATTCTTTTATTTGTATTTTTGAAGTTGCTACAACGTTTTTTAAATGTTACGAGATGAGACTCGAACTTGAACATTGATTCAATAAAAAAAACACTTCATTAACGTGTCAAATCTTGATCAAAAAGGCAAGACTCACCATTTTATTAGCTCCATTTAATTTGATGACACAATTAACCAAATTTGATTGATGGGGACAATACATTGTGAATGCTAAACTTTGCTTGGTTTCTCATTTCTAAAAACACTTTTTAAAAAAATTTATTTTTTTATTTTTTGAATTTTTTTTTATTTCTGTTAAATTTTTTAAATATTTTAAGTAATTTTTTTTACTTTTTAGACATACCTAACATAAATATACCTAAAAATTAAAAATTTATGAAAAAAAACCTCTTAAAAATTCACTAAATACCCCAAAAAAAAAACGAGAATTTAGTATATTTTTTATATTTTTATGTATTTATTAATTTTTTAAAATATTTTTTCACAATTTTTTTATTTTTTAGATACATCTAAGTAAGGTGCATTTAAAAAACTTTTTAGACATACCTAACATAAATATACCTAAAAATTAAAAATTTATGAAAAAAACCTTTTAAAAATTCACTAAATACCCAAAAAAAAAAAACGAGAATTTAGTATATTTTTTATATTTTTATGTATTTATTAATTTTTTAAAATATTTTTTCACAATTTTTTATTTTTTAGATACATCTAAGTAAGGTACATTTAAAAAAAGTAAACAAAAATGTTAATTTTTTTAAAAATATTTACTAAAAACAAAAAAATACGAAAACAACAAAATCAACTTTTAAAAAACTTAATTCAAAAAATTCAAACTAAACACACTGAATTCAAAAAATTCAAACTAAACACTAGCCTTTGTTTGGGAACTTGGTTTGGGGCTAAAATAGCCACAAAAAACAAAATAGGCTATTTTAGCCACAAAAAACAAAACATCAAATCCAACCCATAATCATTACAATCCTCTCCCACAAAAAAAGCTAAAAAAGCCAAAAAGCCAAAAAGTCATTCCCAAACCAAGCTAAAATAGCCCAGGTTAAAATAGCCAAAAAGCTAAAAAGCCAACTCCCTTCCCAAACGGAGGCGGAATAGTTTTGATCATCATATGAGAGCACTGCCTGAAGGTTAATAAACCAGGCTACAAATTTCATGGTTAAAAAAAAATGGTAAATTAATATGATTCAAAGCCAAACATGCAGCTTTTCAATGCATGTTTCAATTCTAAATTCACTACAAGAAAAGTGAGTTTATGAAACGGAACTATTTACGACGGTACGTTTACCATCTCAAAAAGTTATTTTTTGCGACGGCAGAAAATGTCGTCTCAAAAAAGCAGAATATTTGCGATGGTACTATTTGCCGTCTCAAAAAATGAGAGTATATTGTCGCAAATACTCTCATTTTTTGAAACGGCAAATAATGCCGTCGCAAATGCTCTGCTTTTTTGAGACGACAAATGGTGCCGTCGCAAATACTCTACTTTTTTTAGACGGCATTTTCTGCCGTCACAAAAAAGTGACTTTCGGGTTTTTTTGTTTTTTGTTTTTAGTGAATATTTTTTAAATTTTAAATATTTTTTTAAGATGCACCTTACTTAGATGTATCTAAAAAATAAAAAATTTATGAAAAAATATTTTTAAAAATTAATAAATACATAAAAATACAAAAAAAAATGTATTGAATTATTGTATTTTTATTTTTATTTTTTTGTATTTTTGGTATTTAGTGAATTTTTAAAAGATTTTTTTTTACAACTTTTTTAATTTTTAGGTGTATTTATGTTAGATGTGTCTAAAAATTAAAAAAAAATACTTAAAATATTTAAAAAATTCAATAAAAACAATATAACACAAAAAACAAGAAAATATAATTTTCTCAAAAGAGTTTTTTGAAAACTCTAACCTAGTATAGTGATTATGGTTTTGAGATAGCTTCATATATATACAGTCACAAAATGGTTTGAATAAATTCAACGGTATTTTTCTGTCGCAAAAAAAACAAAAAAAAAAAACAATGTCGTCTTACTCTATTGATATAACATTTCTCTTTTCATTCATTTTTTCATCTTCATGTCTCTCTGTCTCTATCTCTCTCTCTTATCTTTATCTCTTTCACCCATCACTCTTCTTTTTCTGTCTGTCTGTTTCTCTCTCTCATTTTCTCTCTGTGTCTCTCGCCTATCTCTCTTCTCTCTATCTTTCTCATCTGTTTTCTCTCTTTGTCTCTCTCGCTTATCTCTCTTCTCTCTATCTCTCTCATTTCTTTTCTCTCTCTCTCTCTTATCTTTCTACCTCTCTCTATCTCTCTCGCTCATTTCTCTTATCTCTTCGTCTCTCTCTTTTTCTGTGTCTCTCTCTCGTTCATATCTTTTCGCTCTATTTCTCTCTTTTTTTGTCTATCTCTCGCTTATCTCTTGTTTCTCTCTCTTTTTCTATCTCTCCCTCTATCTCTCTCTCTCTGTCTCTTTTTTTGTCTATCTCTTTCTCTCCCTGTCTCTCTCTCACTCATCACTCTTTTCTCTCTCTCTCTGTCTACTTATCTATTTGTCTATTTATCCCTCACTATGTTCGCCTTGCTCACTCTCTTACTCTCATTTTCTCTATTTATCGAGTTCTTTCTCGATTTATCGATCCACTATAAGAAAATACACTTTTAGCAACCACTTTGTCTCTCTCTCGCTCATCACTCTATCTCTATCTCTCTCACCATCTCTCTTTCTTACCTGTCTCTCACAAAATTAAAATATTTTTAAAATATTTAAAAAATTGATTTGAATTAAGCTTTGAAAAGAGTTTTGAATTATATTATTGGTTATGAGTTTCGAAAAGTAATGATTATATTTTGAATTGAGTTTTGAAAAATGGATGTAAAATTATGATTTGAAAGCTCAAAACAAACACCATACTTAAATCAATGGGTGGAACTATGACCACTACCACTACCACTACCACTCCCTCTGTCTCTTTTTTTTTTTCTATGTCTCTCTCGTTAATCTCTTTTCACTTTCTTTCTCTATCTTTTAGTTTATCTCTTGCTTATCTCTTGTTTCTCTCTCTTTTTCTTTCTATCTTTCTCTCTCTATCTCTCTCTCTCTCTCTCACTCATCACTCTTCTCTCTTTCTGTCTGCCTGTCTGTCTGTCTGTCTGTCTCTCTCTCCCACTGTGTTCGCCATGCTCACTCTCTCCCGCATCTCTTCTTTATTTATTGAGCTCCCTTTCAATTTATCGATCCACTACAAGAAAATGCACTTTTAGCGACCACTTTGTCTCTTTCTCACTTATTACTCTGTCTCTTTCTTTGTCTTTCTATCTCTTTTCTCTATTCGTCTCTCACTCATTTCTCTCTCCCACCACCCATATTCTCTACCACATTTACCACTACTGCAAATGTTATTCAACTACCACCATTATTCTCTTTCTCTCTTTCACTCATTACTCTTTTTTCTTTGTCTGTTTGTCTATCTGTCTGTGTGTCTTTCGTTCATCTTTCTTCTCTCTATCCCTCTCATTTGTCTTCTCTCTCTGTGTCTCTCGCTCATCTCTCTTCTCTCTATCTCTCTCATCTTTTTTCTCTCTCTGTCTCTCTCGCCCATCTCTCTTCTCTCTATCTCTCTATTTTTCTATTCTCTCTCTTGTTCATCTTTTTTCGCTCTCTTTCTCTCTTTTTGTATCGCTCATCTCTTGTTTCTCTCTCTTTTTCTGTCTCTCTCTATCTCTTTCTCTCTTTGTCTGTTTGTTTCTCTCTCTCTCTCTCTCCGTCTCTCTCTCTCACTCATCACTCTTAATAGAAAATATTTTTCATTAAAATATTATCTTTACTTCTACCAAATAAAAAATAATAATAATAATTTCTCATTCATTAAATATTCATTTATGATGAAAATGAAAATTATTATTTATTTTTTTTATTATTTAAATATTCATTTATGATGAAAATTATTATTATTTAAATATTTTTTTTCCCAATCCCACCCGCTCGGTTCCCCCATTTTTTTTCCATTCTCGCGCCCCCCAAAATCCCCAATCTCTTAGAACCCTAATCATCTCCTCACTCTCTCAGTCTCATCTCAAGTTCAACTCATCACTGTCTCTCTCTCTCACTCTCTCGTTTCGTTGTTCTTCATATCTACACCGATCACTCTTTGACTCTCTCGATGTTCATCTCATCGCACCGATCATCGCACCGCCGATCTACTCACAGGTAAACTCTCTCTCTCAATCTCTGTCTCTCTCTCTCTCTCTCTCTCGGCCCGACCGTTGATTTTTTTTTACAACATATATATATATCAGATATCTCTCTGATTTGATCTGTCTTCCTCACTCTCTCATCTCATCAGTCTCACTCTTTGGTTTTGCATCTCTGCACCGATCGACTCACATGTAAGCCTCTCTCTCTCTCTCTCTCTCCCTGATCTCTCATCTCTATACCGATCGAATAGATCTGTTCTGTTTGTTTATTTTGGACCAACAGATCTGTTCTGTTTGTTTTGGAATCTGTGTGTTTGTTTTGTTTTGGAATCTGATCTGTTCTGTTTATTTTATTCTGCACCGATCACTCTCTGTCTTTGTTCTTAAGGAATTTGTTGAATCTATGTATATGTATGTTAATCAGATTCATGTTGATTTTGTTCTTAAGAAATTTGTGTATGTATGTATGTATGTTAAGAAATTTGTTTGAATTTGTTCTTAAGAATTTTTTAGAAACTTGAGAAACCCAAATTCGAATGAGTTGGTGAAAGTAGAACAAAAACTTAGACAAGGGAGGGCAGTGAATAGCAATGGTTTGCTTTGCCCAAGAAAATGGATTGTGAGATTGACATGTTAAAAGGTGAATGAATACTAGTATTATGTGTGCAGGCATGGAGTGAAGCAACCAAGAAATCCATGGTCAGATGGCCCAGAGTACATCACACAGTGTCATATCAAACCCGGAACAAACTACACATACAAGATCATATTTTCCGATGAGGAAGGAACTCTTTGGTGGCATGCCCACAGTGACTGGACACTGAGCAGTGTACATGGTGCCATTGTCATCTTGCCAGTAGAGGGCACCACTTACCCTTTTCCTGAACCTGATGAAGAACAAATCATAGTACTTGGTATGCCTTTGTTAACCATCAAAAAAAAAAAATTGAAGCAATTAACCATCAATTTGAGCTAGCTTTTTTACTATATATTACATGTATATGTATGCATAACATTCTTGATATTAGCATCACTTCTAGCTTCAACTAGATTGTAATCTTATTGACATTGCAAATTTTTTCTGGTTCACTTCTATTATATATTTACGATTTTGTTTCTGCAACCCATCTGCCTCTAAGTTGTTGCAATGTGTTTCTAAGCATGTCAGCTGTTTGATGAAATACTTCAACTGAAAGGAGTTTCTCAATGTTACTATGAAAAAAGATGTGAATAGGAAAAATAAAATAAAATAAAATTACTGGTCTACTTATCAAATATTTTGCATGAAAATTTAAATGTCATCTGGGTAACACTAAAACATCTTAATTCAAACCAAAAGAGTGTAACTTCTAATGATCTTCACATGAAATAGCAGAACAAGAAAAAACAGCATTAATAAGAAAGGAAAATTCAAGTATGTATGCTTATTATTAAATATTTTATATGGTCAAAACAAAATAAAAGCTAACCTAGATATATTAATAATGTTGTGCAATCAAATGAATCCCTCAAACTTGATCAAGTATAGCAGCTGTGTCATAAAGCTTTATTAGATTAAGTACAATTTTATTCTTATACTCTCTTCAATTGTGACTATTTTTTTCCCCTAAGATATTCATCAACTCTCTTTTGTATTTGCAGGATCTTGGTTTACTTTTGATTTGAACAAAAAGCTTCATTATGATCAGGACTTGTGTATGTGAAGAACTAATCTTTCTTTTTGCACTTTTTCCTTCTCTGCTTTATTTTTGTTTCTTTTTCTTTTTCTTTCTAAATTTTACCTTTTCTGATTATATGAATTTGGATGGCAGGTTGGTTCTTGGGTATGCGTACCCTGCCTTTGAGTGTTTCAAAACGATGGAAAAGAACAAAGTTAAGAAGGCAGAGCTTCAATTTTGGTGTCAATATTGGTAAGAAACTTCTTTATTTATTTATTTATTTATTTTTTTTGCAGTTGGAGTTGACTGAAATTTGTTTTCATTTTTTAGATGTGTATTTAGTTCTTCTAAACCCATCAAATTTCATTAAATGATTATTTTTTAGATTTATATAGGTTTTTAGGAATTAGATGCCAATGGAATTTTTAAAATTAAGATGTTGATTGATACCCGTGCCCCTTTCTTTTCAAATGATTTCGAGACTTTGCTAGCCATGCCATTTATCTAAGGGATTTTGGAATGGGCATGCCATTTTTCTGACAATCCACATTTTGCTTCCATGCTTTGACCTTTTATGACAACATTATCTCTTCTCGCAGCAATCTCTTCGAAGGTTTACTTCTAGAATAGTAATGCATTGTAGTTAGATATGCTTGATGTTGCATTGAGTTTTACACCATGGATGCTTCTTAAAGTGGTCCTTTTGAAGTTTTTCATTTTACTCTATGAAGCTAATTGTATCTTAAATTGTGAAAGATTTGACACTTGCCGTAAATTTGAATCTTAGAGACACTTTCAAAATTTTGGAAAATATTTTGTGACTAGCCAACTTCTTGAAAATTCACATATGTATTAAATCTTTGGTTGTTTAGGAATTTTGGTTGGTTCTGAGACAGAGGCATTAAGGATGTTGGGAGAATTCATTACCAGAGGACTTGTGTATGTGAAGAACTAATCTTTCTTTTTGCACTTTTTCCTTCTCTGCTTTATTTTTGTTTCTTTTTCTTTTTCTTTCTAAATTTTACCTTTTCTGATTATATGAATTTGGATGGCAGGTTGGTTCTTGGGTATGCATACCCTGCCTTTGAGTGTTTCAAAACCATGGAAAAGAACAAAGTTGAGAAGGCAGAGCTTCAATTTTGGTGTCAATATTGGTAAGAAACTTCTTTATTTATTTTTTTGCAGTTGGAGTTGACTGAAATTTGTTTTCATTTTTTAGATGTGTATTTAGTTCTTCTAAACCCATCAAATTTCATTAAATGATTATTTTTTAGATTTATATATTTACCTAACCAACATCATGGTCATGGAAGATAAATGGATGATGCTAATTTACAGGCATGAGAAATAATCTGAGATGGTCCAATTTGGATTTGTTTTGTTATTAGATCAAGAATAAACTTATTGAATGGATACCAAGGAATTTTTTATTTTTATTTTTTATTTAGCCTAGATCCTGGAAACATGAGTTGCAGCATCAATGCCCTGTCTACTGGGTCAACTCCATTGCTCAGAGCGAACAGTTTTGAGAAGAAGACAGTCGGTACAATGTGATGAATATATTGATTTCCAGTGTGGTTGGTGTACCAAAAACAAAGAAATTTAAGGGTATCCTATAATAAAAAAAAAAAGAGAGAGAAAGATATTACAAAGATAGATCTAGAAAAACAAACAGGGATTAGAGAGAAAAAGGAAGAAAAACTATTCATCTCCTTTACCAAGATATGCCAAAGTGTATATAGTGCCTGTTTGGCAGAAATTATAATCAGCTTATTTCAACTTTCAGCTTAATTTAAGCTATTTTGATGTGTTTGGTTTAGCTTATAGCTTTTTGGAAGTCAGAAATCAGCTTATTCTTTGAGTGGGGCAGGAGATGCTTTAAGAATAAGTCAGAAATCAGCTTATGTTCATAGTTATAAGGCATAAGTTATAAGCACTTTCCCACAGCTCTACCAAACAGGGCTATACTAACACAGTACAACTATTTATCTATATATTGTCCTCTCACCTACAAGAACTAAAGTGGTTACAACTAAAGCAGTTACAACTAACTCTAGTACAGTTAGTTTTAGTTTCTGGTGGGTTAACATATCATTTCCCCAATCGATCCTCTTAATTATTATTCTTCTTATTGGAGATTTCACCATTTACCTGTAAAAAAAACAAGTCAAACATAGGAAACACATGACCTAAAAAGAAAACAACTCATGAGTCTTCAAGTTTTAGTGTCAGTATCAGTATCAGTACATTAGCTACAAGGCGCTTGATTCATATTTATTTTGCATTTCATAGGTATGAGGAAGCAAGGAGGAGGAAAAGCTGCGTAGTCAACGGGAGGATTTCAGTGACATGATTGCCGAGGTGTGCATCTTTCACAATCTTTTTGATTTTGTACTTGTTTTAATTAGTATTTATGGACACTTTTGTTCTGATGAGGTGGAATTTTTCAAAATGAGAAGAAGAGGAAACGGAAAATGCAGAAAAAGGATGGAAAATCGAAGAAAAAGGATTTCAAGTTCTAGGACGTGCTGCTGGTTTTGTGATCGGAATGTTAGAATGCTAGATCCATTATGCTTTTCTTAGGCACCTGTAAATTTTTATCATTCGGAATCATAATTGTTGTGTGTCCATTGCCAAAAATGTAGTCCCATTCCATGGAACCAAACACAGCCTTGGTGTTATGGGTTTGGTTAATGAGAAATTTGTTGGTGATTTTATATGCTGCTACTTTCTATTTCCCCATTACTTAGGATGGAAAATATGTTATATATTAAAGTTGCTTGATGGATTTCATGTTCCTGGTGTGAATGCATGCTTTTCCTCGAGGCCAGATAACCCGAATCATAGTTGAGACCAACAATTCTGAATGAAAATAGTTTTTAGAAATGCAGGAAAACAATTGTATACACAGCTCATAATTTTTAGAAATGCAAGAAAACAATTCTGAATGAAAATAATTTTTTTAGTTATTTTTCATTTAATACAGGCCATTTTCATATTTTTAATAATTTTATTAAAGTTTTTTTTTTTTTTTTTTTTTGAGACGACAGCACACACACCGTCTCAAAAAGAAAAATAGAACTAGGGTTTTTTGCGACGGTAGTAATGCTGTCGCAAAAGATAGGGCATTTGTTGAAAATGAAGTTTTTTAGTGACGGTGTCATTTGCCGTCACCAATAGTACTTTAGCGACGACATCAAGTGCTGTCTCAAATAACCCTTTTAGCGACGACAACACAGTGCCGTCTCAAAAAAATTCAAATTTTCATGTGTTAATGGCGACAACATTTTTCCGTCGCAAAAAGGTATTTTTGCCGTCGCTTTTTTTTTTGTGACAGCGTTATATCGTCGCTAAAACCCTTTTGCAACTCTCTTTGTTGCGACCCCCCACTTGCCGTCGCAAAAGGCCAGTTACTGTTGCAAAAAATCTTTTGAGACGACGTTTTGAGTATTTGCGACGACATTCTACAATCGCAAAAAAGTAATTTTTTTGTAGTGATTATTTCATGGTTCAATACATAATTTTATAGTTTCTATTATATTTTAAAACAAAGCCGAACCGAATTACATTTCGTTAGGTCGTTCTGTTTGATTCTAAAATTTCATTAATTTTCTTTTTTATTGAATCATACTCACCTATAAGGACTCATTTGGGATTTTTTTTATTATTGATTTTTTAAATTTTTTATTAAAAAAAATGCATAAAAAATAAATAAAATAATTTAATAACTTGTAAGAGCATCCGCATTAGATGATGCAAAATAACAAAAAGGTAAAACATAACTAGTAAATCATCAAATCCTTTCTCCATCAGTCTCAACAAATTTTTTGTAAATTAATTTTTTGTTAAATTTGCTACAGTACCTTAACAACTTTAAAGATGCATTGTTCATTGGCTACATAATTTTTTATTATATTTTCTAGAGTAAAACTGGGCCAAAATCTTTAAACTGGTCATCTACCCAATGTCTCTCGGATATCCTACTGGACATCCCGTGAGTGCCTGTAACAGAAGGAGAAAAATGCCCAAAATTAGTTTAATCGGTCGACCGGCTGGTCAACGGCAAATTTTTTTTTTGTTGCATTTTTTAAGAATTGTTTGGGTGACACCTCATCAATTTAATATTAAAAAAAAATACAATAAGAAATTAATATTTTAATAAGATTGCGTTATAATAGAGAGTTTGATACAGTGAAAACTAAAAAAGTGATCAGTTAAAATAATAAAAATAAGTTTTGAGTTATAATTTGATTAAAAATTTATTAAGACTGATACAGATGCTCTAATAAATTTGTCTCATTTTCCAAACAGGGGCTAAATCTGCAAAAACACAAAGAAGGTCCAGGTTTTTACCCGACCCACATGATTGATAATAGGATAAAAGGTTCGGGTTGGGTGGGAAACCATCAAACACCAGACCAGAGGTCATACATGACGTGTAGATGATGTTGTAATGCACATATAAGAAATAATAAATTAAAAAAACAAATAAGGAAAACAGTTCAATATTTAGGGCTCGATTGACATGTTTGAAAAAAGTCAAAAAGTCACTATCCTATTTAAATCAGATTATCTTATTCAAGTCATATCAGTTCTCTAACATATCACTTCAAACTTAACCCAAACCCAACCCATATTTTATAAAAAGTCAAAAAGTACACTTATTTAAATAATTCCAAACAACTCCTAAATAATAATAATTAAAAGTAGTGAAATTATTACAGTGTTGGCCCATAGTTGATTTTGGGGCAGAAGATATTACAAAAAGTTATAAAAAAAAATATATATAAAAAAAACGAGAGAGAGAGAGAGTCCAAGAACAGGAGTCCATTATCTGAGGCCAAGAGCAGTAGTGGGGGCCCAGTAACATGGGCCCACCCCACTACCTTATAGACTATAGTGTCCAAAACCAAAGCTCTAGTTGGCCCCGGCTAAATAGTTTTTTTTTTTTAATAATTCGGTGATAAATCCACTTTTATCGATGTATATAAATATTAAATTCAGGGGGTTAATTTGTTTTGGTTTTAAAAATATGATTAATTGAATATATTAATGAAAAGTTCAAATTATTGTTTTAAAATATATTTTTTATTTTTACTTTTACTCTTACAGAAAACTATTGTTTGGTTTGAATTTTCTGAATTAAGTTTTTTGAAAATTGAGTTTTTTATTTTTCGTAATTTTTTGTTTTTAGTGAATATTTTTAAAATTTTAAACATTTTTTTTACTTTTTTAGATGTAACTTACTTAGATGTATTTAAAAAGTAAAAAAAATTATGAAAAAATGTTTTAAAAAATTAACAAATACATAAAAATATGAAAAATATACTAAATTTTCATTTTTTTTTATATTTTTGGTATTTATTGAATTTTTAAAATATTTTTTCACAAAAATTATACTTTTTATGTGTATTTATGTTAGTGTGTCTAAAAATTAAAAACATTACTTAAAATATCAAAAAAATTTAGTAAAAACAAAAAAATACAAAAAATAAGAAAATATAATTTTTTGAAATTATTTTCAAAAAAACGAAACCAAACAAACTGATTAATTTTACTCTTAAAAGTATAGATTACTTTTACTCTTATAAGAAAATATATTTTATTTTTTTGAATAAAGATTGGGACCCCGTTTCCCCCACCCCTTTTGACCCCCTTTCTTTTTTGATTGGTCACTTTTTCTTTTCTTTTTTCTTTTTTTTCTTCTCCTCCAATCACCACCCGCCATGTGTGTGTGAGGTGGTGGGGGTTGAAGTTTGAGGGGGTCTAAATCACTACTGTATTTTTTTATTCCCTTATACTATCGTCAAATATCGCCATTGTTGCTGATGGTGACTTATTAGAAAATTCGTTATTGTCAGAAAAGTTGCCATCATCGAAGCTGTAGCTGATAATTCGAAGCAATGGTGAATAGATTAGTAGACACGTGGATAGATAGATAGACAGATAAATAGATCGATAGGAGTAAATATTATCTTTTAAGAATATAGCTTTGGACCCCGGTGGGGGTATTGGGGTCCCTTCCCATTGGTCCAAAAAAATAGTTTATTTTTTTTTTTTTTTGGGTTTTCAGCCAACCCCAGGCCGACACGTGGCACTGGGGGTCACTCCCATGTAGCATTGCTAGGATCTTTTAAAATCTTTGTTACTCGTATGTGGTAAAAAAATAGGTGTAGTTTTGGTTTTAATTTTTTTTTTATAATTTAATTTTTTTAAAATTAAATTTTTTATTTTTTGTGTATTTTTGTTTTAGTGAATATTTTTAAAAATTTTAAGTATTTTTTTTTACTTTTTTATATGGCATCTTATTTAGATGTGTATCTAAAAGTAAAATATTTATAAAAAATTATTTTTAAAAAAATTTAAATATAAAAAAATACAAAATATATATTGAATTTCGTATTTTTTTTGTATTTTTGGTATTTTTAGTGAATTTTAAAAAAAAAATTCAAAACGAATATAACTCCCTCTGTCCCAAAATATTGTCCCCTTATTCCATTTTTCATTGCCCAAAATATTAAGTCCCTTCTTTCAAAAATCAAGTACAAAAATAATAATATTTCCTAATTTTACCCTTCTTTAAATAAATAACAACATAAAAGTACATTATTGCATTGATATTCCCAAAAAAATGTACTAAATCAAAAGGGATAATTTTTGGAAAAAATGCAACTTTTTTTCAAATGCATAATTGTATCTACCAAAAAAAGTTGGATTCCCCAAAAGGGACCATTATTTTGGGAGCGGAGAGAGTACTTTTAAGTGTAATTTATGTAGATGTCTAAAAATTAAAAAATTACTTAAAATATTAATAACATTCAAGTATAATAAAAATACGAAAAAATAAGAAATAAAATTTTGAAAAAAGTATTTTCAAAAACTAAAACAAACATGGTAAGAATTTGAAAATTACTTGGCAAAAGTTTTAAAATTTGGATGGTTGGTCCAAGTGCTTTTTTTTAAACATATATTCAAATATTTTATGTTTTGAATTCTTCTAATTTAGAAAAATTTTGAAAAAATTTATTTTAAAAAAATAAAATTAAAATATTTATTGAAGACAAAAAAAAAAAAAAAAAAATTTCTGACCACTATTAAAGATTAAATGAAATTTCTAAATCTAGAGATATATTTGTGAGATTAGCAAGCACTAAAATTTTTTCCGTACTCACAACTTGTCACTCAACTTAGAAAACCTCTGAGGATTGTCCTTATGCTTCTATGGGAAAGCCAGAAGAGCCAAGAGTTCTGTTTGTATTGCTCTTACGGAAAGTTGTTGGCTGGCTTGGGCCCACCGATAACCGACCCTTCCTTACCTTTAAAAATGGGTCAATTAATTAAAAAGTAATAATAATTTAATGAATCATAACTATAATCAGGTTGACTTCTATATCAGAATTGGATACTAACAAAGTTTTAAAATTCTGAAGGTATGGTGTGTTAAAAAAAAAGACAAAGAGTTTTGTAAATTAATTTTGAGATATGAGTTGTATTTTGAGTTTTTAAGTTGTGAAATGTATAATTTGAAATATAGAAATTTTGTTGTGTTATGATTTTTAATGAGTGTTGAATTGAGTGCTGGATTTGAGTTTTGAAAGTTTGATTTGACATTGAAGTGAAGAAATTTGTTTTGGTTATTGAGTTTTGAAAAGAATTTTATAAAACTTTAATTCAAATTGTTATAATCATAAACAAAACTACACTATTTCACACTTATTGAAAATTTCTGATATAAACTCATAACCAAATTTTTTTCAAAAATTCAATTAAAAAAATTATTATTAAATAGAAAA